TTTACTGTACAGATGTTTACTGTACATTTACCATACAAACATTTACTGTACAGATGTTTACTGTACATTTACCATACAAACATTTACTGTACAGATGTTTACTGTACATTTACCATACAGATGTTTATTGTACAGATATTTAGTGTACAGTTACCATACAAACATTTACTGTACAAATATTTAGTGTACAGTTACCATACAAACATTTAATGTACAAATATTTAGTGTACAGTTACCATACAAACATTTACTGTACAGATATTTAGTTTACAGTTACCATACAAACATTTACTGTACAAATATTTAGTTTACAGTTACCACACAAACATTTACTGTACATATATTCATTGTACAGTTACCATACAGATGTTTACTGTACAGATATTTACTGAACATTTACCATACAAATTTTCCTCTACAGATATTAATCTTACAGTTACAGTAAAAATGTTTACTGTACAGGTATTTACTGTACATTTACCATACAAACATTTACTGTACAGATATTNTTTACTGTACAGGTATTTACTGTACATTTACCATACAAACATTTACTGTACAGATATTAATCTTACAGTTAGAGTAAAATTTTTTACTGTACAGGTATTTACTGTACATTTACCATACAAACATTTACTGTACAGATATTTACTGTACATTTACCATACAGATGTTTACTGTACAGATATTTACCAAACATTTACCGTACAGATGTTTACTGTACAGACATCTGTATCCACCTTTGCAATTCTCTTTAATGTAACCTTATTTTTGTTCTATTTCTCATTCATTTTGCGTTTTCACAAACTTTTGTTGTTTCACTCAAATTTTTCTTTTTTTAAATATGTTTTCTTCACATTTATCGATATTTTCCTCAGATGTGTTATTTTCCTTCTCCTTGTTCTTACCTTGCTTCCTTTCCTTGCTCCCTTCTTCTGACCTTCCTAGTGGCCGTAGCGCTGAGGAACCAAAAGGTGAGGATATCAAACGGCGTTGGCCAGACCACCCAGGTCTCCAGCAGCGTTTTCATCCCATCGCTCAGTGAATTCACCGTCTGCTTCGAGGTGGAGCGCATCGGCAACAATCAGGTCCCGACAAAGTTTTAATCTTCAGATTTTTTTTTGTCTTTAAGTTTAAAGTTGGAAAATCATCCCAGGGTTAGAAACAGACCTGTTTTTGTTAGACTGTTTTGGACCTGAGCTGCAGGAATGGTCAGCTTTTAATCTGAATGGTTCTGTTGGTGTAAAGATTAACAACATTTAATTTATTTCATGTTTTTGTATTTTAGATGTTTGGTTTCTTTTGATCTGTTTGTGTTTTTGTTGGTCCTGAACAGAGAGAGTGGCTCTTCAGCTACACCAACAGCAGCAGCACCGCGGCACTGAGTTTAGGGTCCGATCAGACGGGCATGAAGCTGGTTGTTGATGGAGTGGTCTGTTCTGTCGAGTCCATCCTCTCTGCTGCTGACTTCACGTCCACCATGAGGTCCTTTTGTGTCCTCTGGACGTCCTCCAACGGCTCCGTGGTCGTTTACTTTAACAGGATCTACAGGAACATTACGTGCTTGCTCTCCAGGAATCACACTGTGCCGGCTGGTGGAACCTTCCAATTAGGAGGTAAACTGAGGTTTTACCATAAATATAATTTATTATTATCAATAAAAATCAATTCAGATGTTTTGCTTCAGATCCAACGGGTTTAATATTTGTTTTAGCGACGGTTAAAATATAGAACAGTTTGAAGACAAAAGTCAAAACCCTGAAATACACTAGAATGACCAAACACAGTGGATAAGAGAAGCTGTGCCGCCATCTTGGTAGGTGCTACACGTGTCTTTAGTTATTCCCAAAATGGCAGCCGATTATACAGTAAATATTTGAGTAAAAAACTAAACTTGGTTAAATAATCCCATGTTAATTCAATTCAGATAACATGATACACACACGTACACAGCACAGAGAGATACAGGTAGCACCTAACAAGATGGCAGCCGTTAGAGTTTACTGAGCTTAAAGGGATCCATGATTAGTTGTAACATTAGACTTAATTTGATAAACATTTATTTTAACTGTAAAATAAAGACTGTAAAAATACTGTAGGCTGTTTAATTTTGTAAAATTTTAAAAATATGTTACACAGACAGAGCCATTTTATTTACACACAAAGCATTCTGGGTAAATGATGATGTGGATAGGTCCTCGGTGTGAGGCTGCTAGCGAGCTATATCCACCCTGAAGGTTAATCTTGGACAATATCTGATGATCGACTCTTTTAAATGAAACCAGAGAGCGTTGACAGAGAGGAGAAGGTAGAAATGACTCAGCCTGKAACTGAAAATATGGATGGAGGACAACAGAGCTGCTTCATGGAAGAAGAACCTCAGATTAGCCTGTTAGCCTTTGCGCTAGCGCCGATGCTATATTGCCTTATATGCATTAGCTTGGCTCTAGCGCGAAGGCTAACAGGCTAAGCTGAAGTTCTTCCTTTAAGATTGTTGTTCTAGAGGGATTAGATGTCTTTTGTTTTGTTAAAAACAGATTATTTTGTTATATGAACTTATTCTCGGGATAAAAGGGGCAGGTATAAGATTTTTTCTTGTCTCTGCCGCCTTTCATTTCATTTTGTGATTTTGATATACATACATATTTTTTCTCATTTTACTTTTTGTATTTTTCCTTTTATTGTATATTGTATATAAAATTATTTGTTTTGTTTAAATGAAATGAATAAAGAAATTGAGTTGAATGGATATAGCTCGCTAGCAGCCTCGTTCCGAGGACCTATCCACGTCATCATTTACCCAGAATGCTTTGTGTGTAAATAAAATGGCCCCGTCTGTGTAATATATTTTTAAACTTTTAGTTTAAAAATGATAAAAACTAAACAGCCTACAGTATTTTTACAGTGTTTATTTACAGTTAATCAAATAGAGTCTAATATTACAACTAATCAGGGATCCCTTTAACTACAATCATTGATTTATAGATTTAATTAAAGTCTGCGACCTGAAGAGATTAATAAGATTTTTTATAGTGGGGTTCTGTGGAAAGGTTATAAACAGTCAATATCTAACTTGGAGGCTAGTTTGTGTAAATCAGTTGTGTTTAAACTTTTATAAAAAGCCTTTTCTGTTGGTTTAGGTTCGGGGCAGCTGAGCTTCAATGGGAACATGTACAACCTGCGGCTGTGGAACCGGACCATGGCGCCGCCGGAGCTCAGCGCGTTGACCTGCGACACGGTGGGCAGCGTCATCGACTGGGACAACAACTACTGGACCATCCCGTCCTCCGTGGCCCAGACCAACAACACTCTGAGCTGCAGTGAGTAGATGGGACCGCCTCGGTCTGACGGCACAGAACAGAACTGGACCCTTAATATTTATTAGCTGCAGCAGAACTACAGCTATTATTACTAGAGCCCAACAGAATTATCTTTACTATAAAGATAAAAAGAAAGAAAACAGAACATATCCATTTGTCTCGATGAAAAACGGAGATATTACACAATCGTTTGATTGTCGACACTAAAGGAGGGATTTTTAAATAAATTTAAAGTTGATTTTAGAACAGATAATCAGCAGAGAGGACAACATTACTGTGTCTTTAACCAATAATCATTCAGCCTCTCGTGCTTCTCGTGCAGAGATGATATCAGTCCTGTAATCACACTTGAGTTATTGTGCAGCTCTGCTTTTATACGCTGTCATTTATTTAACGTGTCTCCAGTGACTTTCCACCAAACTGCTGATGAACCAGGTTTGCTTTAATTATCTTTTCCAAACTCTCTTTGTTTGAAAGTAAAGCGTTTAACACTTCTGTGTTTGATATCAGAACCAGATTCTGGTGGGTTTTTGGTCGTGGTTAATGAGGTAATGGATTCCAGCTGGCCGGCTGGCCGTGGACCAGCGTGATGAAATCCTCTGCTGGGTCCAGCTCATAGACAGAACCAGGCTACAGAGAGGTTCTGGTCTAGTCTCGGAGTTTTGTTTTTTATTACCTGTGGTGGTTTTAAAGATGCAAACATTAGACCCTGAAACAAAAACGGGTTCTGATGTGAGGAATTTCTGCTGAACTCGGAACTGGAGAGACCCAAAGGACCCGTGTGCTTTCAGACCTCAGATACTCGCAGCGGTTTTAAAACTGCCGGAGTCAGCAAAAACTTTCCTTATTCTCCTGCAGACATTTTAACAACTTCTGCTCTGAAACCAACACGTGGAGCTTTAACTGTGGAGGTTTGACTAAAAACCACTAAAGACTGAAGTCTGAACACAAACGGTGGGAAATAAAAAGCTGGTAGATGCATAAACTACCTGCTGCAGGTAACTTTACTTCAGCTCTAATGGATCTGTCTAATTCCTGGATTTTAACAGATTTACATTTGAGTTTCCACACTGACCTCAGTCTGATGAGTTCACTTGATTAATTAATTGCTTAAGCTCCGCCTACGTACTAATTCACCTTTTGGCTGCTTTGCTTTTGCTGAAAAACAGCAACTGTTTTTCTGTAAGAAGTCATTATTTTCTCTAAAGACAAACCTGTTTTATTAAAGGGATTCTTTAATTTAAATTTATTTATTTTTATTAACTTGACCTTTTCTCACTGTCTGCTTCCCGCTTTGTACTCAGTTAACTCCTGCTACGCCATCTAGTGGTGAGTCTGCTAACAAGCCTCACATGCTAACACACGCTAAAGCATGCTAACATGCGCTAACATGTGCTAACATATGCTAACATGCAATGAATGTAGAGAAATGTTTGTGTGTTTATATTTATCGATTTGTTTCTTTGACAGTAAAGAGTCATCAGCGTAACTTGATTGTAAAACCAAACAGAAAAAAACTCAGTTCTGTTTATTTATCTAAGCTCCAGCTGGAAGCCCCGTCTGCTTTATGGTTTTAAATCAACTGAATATTTAAATATAAATATACAGTAAAAATGATGGAGTCAGAATTATTAGTTTTTTTGGTCCATAAATATCACTTTCAGACTCAGACTCAGATTTTACTGTTTTTTAAAGATTTGTTCAAATAGAACTACAACTTCAGTCATTTTTACAAACAAGTTTCAGTTTATTTTAGACACAGGGTCATATTCATACACCTCACTAATAATTACTTCAAATTTTCTCCAGGAGACATTTATCTTGTCCATATGGACACCTGCAGGTTTCAGGCCAGCTGGAAGCTTCTGGAGCTTCGTTCCCTGTCCTCTCAGTCTATGATGATGGGACACTGGTGGAGACAAGACACTGTTGGAAAGGGACACTGGTGGACAGGGACACTGGTGGACTGGGACACTGATTGACAGAGACAGTAATGAAGATAAGATACTGATAAGACAGGGACACTGGTGGACTGGGACACTTCTGGACAGAGACACTGTTAAACAGGGACACTGGTGGACAGGGACACTAGTGGACAGATACACTAATGGTGATAAGACAATGATGGACAGGGACACAGTTGGACCGGGACACTGGTGGACAGAGACACTAATGAAGATAAGAACCTGATGGACAGGGACACTGACTGGGACAATGGTGGACAGGGACACAGTTAGACAGGGACTTGTTGAACAGAGATATTGTTGGACAGGGACACTAGTGGACAGATACACTAATGGAGATAAGACACTGATGGACAGGTACACAGGTGGACTGGGACACTGGTGGGCAGAGACACTGGTGGAAAGAGACACTAATGGAGATAAGAACCTGATGGACAGCGACACTGTTGGACTGGAAAAATAGTGGACAGGGACACTGTTGGACTGGGACAATGGTGGACAGGGACACAGTTGGACTGAGACACTGTTGGACAGGGAGACTGGTGGACAGGGACACTAGTGGACAGATACACTAATGGAGATAAGACATTGATGGACTGGGACACTGGTGGAGATAAGACACTGATGGACAGGGACACAGGTGGTCTGGGATACTGGTGTACAGGGACACTGATAGACAGAGACACTAATGGAGATAAGAACCTGATGGACAGGGACACTGTTTGACTGGGACAATAGTGGACAGGGACACTGTTGGACTGGTGCAATGGTGGACTGGGACACTTTTGGACAGGGACAATGTTGAACAGAGACATTGTTGGACAGGGACACTGGTGGACAGCAGGTTCCAGTTAATGACAGGTTAGAGACTCTGTGGTTCCTAAACATCTGGACTAGTTTCTGTCCTTCAGACGGGGACAGATGAAGACTGGTCGGTCCAATCGGTGATGTCCATAGAACCCTAAAGAAAAAGCAGGAGTTGATGGACAGAATTTGTCTCAGATGGACAAGAAGATGGTCTATGCTCCATCTGTTTTGGAGCACTGGATCAGGAGGAATAGATGTCTCTCTGAGCTTCCAGATGTTTGGACATATCTCTGGCAGCGGGGTTAAAGGTCAGCTGTGTCTGAGCAGCAGAACTCGTCTCTTCAGATTCTGTTTGTTTGCAGTGTCAGTCAGTTGTCAGCCTCGTGCACGGCCTCAGTGTATGTGTGTTCTTATTGTCACAGCAGCTCCAAAAAGCTGTCAGTCATCACCTGTCCACCTGTCAGAGACTTCTGGAAGGTTCTGATCTGGTAATCCTGCAGAGAAACAGAGACGGGTCGTCACAGCAGAACTCAAAAACTTTTTATTATTTGAATAAAATATTTTTAAACAACATAAACAAAAACAAAATGTTTTTAACTTAAGTTCAAAAACCCAGGATCAAACATTTAGTCATCAATTTTATGTTTCAACAAATTTAGACTTTTTTTAATATAAAAGTATAAAAAACCTGGAATAACATTTGAAACACAATTCAACCATCAGTCGATCCGATGCTTATCCTTTGGGTTCTGCTCTCAGGATATTTGGGTTCTGTTCTCAGGATATTTGGGTTCTTTTCTCTGGATCTTTTGGTTTTTTCTCTGGATCTTTGGGTTCTTTTCTCAGAATCTTCAGATTCTTTTCTCAGGATCTTTGGGTTCTTTTCTCGAGATCTTTGGGGTCTTTTCTCTGGATCTTTGGGTTCTGTTCTCAGGGTCTTTGGGTTCTGTTCTCAGGATCTTTGGGTTCTTTTCTCGAGATCTTTGGGGTCTTTTCTCAGGATCTTTGGGTTCTTTTCTCGGGATCTTTGGGTTCTTTTCTCGGGATCTTTGGGTTATTTTCTCAGGATCTTTGGATTCTTTTCTCAGGATCTTTGGGTTCTTTTCTCGAGATCTTTGGGTTATTTTCTCGGGATCTTTGGGTTATTTTCTCGGGATCTTTGGGTTATTTTCTCGAGATCTTTGGGTTATTTTCTCAGGATCTTTGGATTCTTTTCTCAGGGTCTTTGGGTTCTTTTCTCGGGATCTTTGGGTTCTTTTCTCTAGATCTTTGGGTTATTTTCTCGGGATCTTTGGGTTATTTTCTCGGGATCTTTGGGTTATTTTCTCAGGATCTTTGGATTCTTTTCTCTGGATCTTTGGGTTATTTTCTCGGGATCTTTGGGTTCTTTTCTCTAGATCTTTGGGTTATTTTCTCAGGATCTTTGGGTTCTTTTCTCGGGATCTTTGGGTTCTTTTCTTTGATCTTTGGGTTCTTTTCTCGGGATCTTTGGGTTTTTTCCGTTGGATCTTTGGGTTCTTTTCTCTGGATCTTTGGGTTCTTTTATTTTTATCTTTGGGTTCTTTTCTCAGGGACTTTGGGTTCTTTTCTCGGGATGTTTGGCTTCTTTTCTCTGGATCTTTGGGTTCTTTTCTCTAGATCTTTGGGTTCTTTTCTCGGGATGTTTGGGTTCTTTTCTCTGGATCTTTGGGTTCTTTTCTCGGGATCTTTGGGTTCTTTTTTGGAATGTTTGGGTTCTTTTCTTTGGATCTTTGGGTTCTTTTCTCTGGGTCTTTGGGTTATTTTCTCTGGACCTTTGGGTTATTTTCTCAGGATCTTTGGATTCTTTTCTCAGGATCTTTGGGTTATTTTCTCGGGATCTTTGGGTTCTTTCCTCTAGATCTTTGGGTTATTTTCTCTGGATCTTTGGGTTCTTTTCTCAGGATCTTTGGGTTATTTTCTCAGGATCTTTGGTTCTTATTGGTTCTCCAGCTGACAGAAGGTCTGCTAAATGAAGTCATGAGTAGATTCAGACATGAGGCATATGGAAACAGATCTGGTACCTGCAGCAGCAGCAGGTTTGGATATTTTTTTGCAGAAAAAAGAAGAAAAAGTTTAAATTCATGTCCAGAACAGAAGACTAAAACCTGTAAACATAAACAACAACATGAAGGTTGATTGAAGTGTTTTCTGGGATCAAAGGAGTCTGACTGGACCAACGAGGAGCAAACAGAAGAAAAACTAAAGAAGAAGTCAAAATATAATCAGAGCAGATGAAAGAAAGATGAAGAAATCAAAAGGAGAAAGTTTCTGTTTTTGACTCATCCTGTCAACAAGCTGCAGATCCACGTGGTCCTCCAGTCCTCCCTCTTAGGGTTTCTGAGTGGGCAGGAGCTGGACCAGGACACAGTCCTGGAGGAGAGCCTGGAGAGACGTGGTGTTCCTGAGGGGCATCTCCAGTCCTCTGTTGGCACAAAATGTGAAATATATTCAGAATGTTTCAGGAGTTTGTGGAGAATAAACTTTCTGACTGATGCATTGTGGGAAATCCTTTATGCCGACTTTACAAACACCTGGAAGCTGATCTGGACTGAAAATCCTCTTCATCACAAACTAACCTACTGATCTATGATCCTGCTTTTATGTTTTTAACAAATAAACGTTAAAAACTAAATTGATTCCACACTTGAAGCTTCAGATGTGGAGGATGGAGTCAGGTTTATCTGATCAGAATTCATTTATCCCCTGTGTGTGTTTTTTATTGTTTGTTTTGTCTTTCTGAAGGTGCCAACCCAACCACGCCCCCTGGACTGGGACTGGACTCTTCAGGTAGGAACAGGAAACTTGTCTCACCTGAGATTTTAAACTTTTTCTTTCTTTTTGTGTTCAGCGTCTGAAATTTGTTTTTAATTTGTTTTAATCGACTCTTTTAAATGAAACCAGAGAGCGTTGACAGAGAGGAGAAGGTAGAAATGACTCAGCCTGTAACTGAAAATATAGATGGAGGACAACAGAGCTGCTTCATGGAAGAAGAACCTCAGTTTAGCTTGTTTGTCACGCTAGCACTGAGCTAATACATATAAGGCAATATAGCGTCAGTGCTAGCACAAAGGCTAACAGGCTAAGCTGAGGTTCTTCTTCCATGAAGCAGCTTTATTGTCCTCCATTTCAGTTCCAGGCTGAGTCATTTCTACCTTCTCCTCTCTGTCAACGCTCTCTGGTTTCATTTAAAAGAGTCGATCATCAGATATTGTCCAAGATTAACCTTCAGGGTGGATATAGCTCGCTAGCAGCCTCGCACCGAGGACCTATCCATGTCATCATTTACCCAGAATGCTTTGCATGTAAATAAATTGGCTCAGTCCATGTTAAAATATATTTTTAAAAATGTACAAAACTGAACATCCTACAGTATTTTTACAGTATTTATTTTACAGTTAAAATATATGTTTATCAAATAAAGTCTAATGTTACAACTAATCGGGGATCCCTTTCATTTAAATCATGTTTGAAGTGAGTTGAAACTGTGTGGTCCAGGTCCAGGTCTAGGTCTAGGTCCAGGTCCAGTACCTCTGCAGCTGGTTGGGGGGTCATGTTCTGGTTTTAGTTCCAACTCTGGATCAACAGTTTCTGGTGCCTGAACATTTGCAGGGAAAGGGTATGATAGTTCTCCTGAAGCTGCAGAGTCATCAAATCCATAGAAGACCTGATCCAGGACCTGATCCAGGGCCTACAGGTCTCAGTGACCAGACATTCTCCTTGATGGAGACCAAATCTTATTTTCTGTTATTGTTGGTGTTTTACATGGCTCCAGCTAAACCAGGAGCCTGGACCAGGCAAAGATTCTGGGACCAAATGTCTGAAGATCCATTTGAAACTTTAAATCTTGTGTCGACAGAATTCTGGTTCTTCTTTGAGTTTAGGTGCTTTTTTCTGTCTGAATGAGGTCAAAGATCAGAGTTAAAGGCACAGAGTGTAGGATTTGTTGTTTTCAGCGACATCTAGTGGTTGAGTGGTTGAATAATCCTCCCTGGTCCTCCCCCCACCCCCACCCCCCACTTCCAAACACAAAGGAGTTGCTACGGTGTCTCTCAAGTGTCAAAAACCTTTGATAATTCCAACCGCGATGTCTACCAGCAGCTTCAGGGCTAGTGATGTTTCAAGTGGTAAGATTATGAGCTTTAATAAGTAAAATTATCCCAGCTACAATGACAGACAACAAATATTACATTTATAGTATTACAACTAAAACCATTTTTGACGCCGCCATCGCAGTTTGTCCTTCATGAGCCTTCGTAGACAAGATGGAGGTGCAAGGTGGTGGCTGCTTGTAGTGGCGACCCGCGACCATGGAGATATAAACAGCTTTTTRTAAGGTAAAAATAATAAAACAAGGTCTTTGTCTGCAATGATTAGACATGTTTTTTATTATTGTCATTACTGATTATCTCAATTTCGGCGAAAAGAATTGACAAAATCCTACACACTGTGCCTTTAAATGGAAAATGTTCAGGTAGAAGAACTGAACCTGGAACTCTCTGAACATCTGAAGAACTGACGAACTGTTGATGGACTTTAAAGGATCACAGGAATGTCTGGATCAGAACCATGAGGATCCAAACTTGTTTTTATCTCTCTGTCATCTGCTGCTTGTTATGTTTATTTCTTACTTATCATCACCACCATCTTTGTTTTTATCCAAACTCCACCAGCTGCTTCCTCCCCCATCACCTCCTCCACTGACTCCACTAACAGCAGCCATGATACTAACGCCATCACTCACGGTAAGACATCCTCACCCTCACCATCCCTCCTCTTCATCGAGCAGCCCTCATCTCTTCGCCCTCTTTTTCCAACATGTTTTTGTTTTATTTCTCGTCCACTTCGAGCTCCCAGCTGCTGGCGTTTGCGGACGACGCCGTGATCTGTAGTGAGAGTAGGGAGCAGGTGGAAGAGAGCCTGGAGAGGTGCAGGTCTCAGTGACCAGAAAGTATTTTACTGGACCAACAAGGATCCAGGTTTTAGACTCATGGGAGGAAGATTTTTTTTAAATACTTATTTGTTTAGAAAAATAACTTTTCAGTGACACTTAGACTAGATTGTTGTTGAACCACGAGGATGAAGAAAACCTGGAAGCAGACAGGCTGAATGTTTGTGTCGTTAACACAGTCCTGTTACTAACCTGCTGCTTTATTGTGCTAATCAGCTAACGACATCATCATCAACAGTGCTGCTACACCTACACCTTCACCCGAATCTCCACCTTCACCAGAGTCTCCACCTACGCCTTCACCAACACCTTTACCTTCACCAACACCTTTACCTTCACCAACACCTTTACCATCACCAACACCTTTACCTTCACCAACACCTTTACCTTCACCAACACCTTTACCWTCACCAACACCTTTACCWTCACCAACACCTTTACCTTCACCAACACCTTTACCTTCACCAACACCTTTACCWTCACCAACACCTTTACCTTCACCAACACCTTTACCTTCACCAACACCTTTACCTGAGCCTACACCTATGCCTTCACCTACACCTGAGTCTTCACCCACACCTACACCTTCATCTTTACCTTCACCCGAGCCTTCATCTACACTTTCACCTGAGCCGGCTGATGTTTCTTCAGCTAACAGCACAACTCAGGGTAAGGTAGACAGCATCACCTGAAGTCAGGCTACAGTCTCTCATTGACCGAAAAGTTAGCTAGTTTTCTTACACCTACCAAAAACACAGACGAAACATTAGTCATGTTTAATTTAGATTAGTGCATAAATATTCTGAATTAGCCTATTATTCCCAGCAGTTAAACCCTCGTTTTGTACCTTCATTTGATAGTTTTTAAAACCTCCTCCAACATGTAGTCTGTTCCATCAGTCATGAACATTTAAAAACCAACCGGTGTGTCTTAAAGTTGTCTAATGTTGTTGACTTTCCTCGTAGCTGAACAACCAGCATCTGTTTCCTCTGCTGCCACTAACAACTCAGCTACTAACGAAACACCTGGTAAGAACAACATCAACTCTGTAAAATAATGCAGGCAGTAAACAAACAGCTGGTTCATGGTTTACAGAGTCAAGATGACTAAAGGACAACAAAGCTTTAATCAAGTACATCTAATAAAAATATTAATATCAAAGTTAATTTGAAGACAAACCCAGTCAGTGAGCCTCATTTTAAAATCATGACTGTTTTTGTTATAAAACGGTGTTAAAGGTGGGCGGGGCCTAATCAAACTACTAGCTGACCAATCAGAGACGACTTTGATAGTTGTGTTTAGGGCTTGATCAGAATACTGGAGCTGACCAATCAGAGATGACTAGACTATAAGTTATGGGCGGAGCTTATTCAGACTACTGTAGCCGACCAATCAGAAAAGACGAAACTTATTGTTGTGAGCGGAGTTTGATCAAACCATTGGGGCCAACCAATCAGAATAGACTAGGCTTAGAATTGTAGGAGGGGCCTTATGAGACTACTAGGGCCAACCAATCATAATAGACTAATCTTGTAGTTGTAGGAGGGGCCTAATGAGACTACTGGAGCTGACCAATCAAAATAGACTAGGCTTAGAGTTGTAGGAGGGACCTTATGAGACTACTAGGGCCAGCCGATCATAATAGACTAATCTTTTAGTTGTAGGAGGTGCCTAATGAGACCACTGGGGTTTAAAATCAGAAAAGACCAACCCCTGTGTTATGGACAGGAGTTCATCAGACTACTGGGGTCAACTAATCAGAATTGACTAGATTTAGAGTTGTAAGAGGGGCTTAATGATACTACTGGGGCTGACCATTCAGAATAGACTAAGCTTAGAGTTGTAGGATGGGTTAAATCAGACAACTGGGGCCGCCCAATAAGAAAAGACCAATCCATGATTTATGGGCAGGACCTAATCAGAGTACTGGGTCCAACTAATCAGAATAGACTAGACTTAGAGCTGGAGGAGGGGTTTATTGAGGCTACTGGAGCTGACCAATCAGAATAGGGTAAGCTTTTATTTGTAGGAGGAGCCTACTGCTGAATCTGACTAATCAGAATAGACTAGGCTTAGAATTGTAGGAGGGGCCTAATGAGACTACTAGGGCAGACCAATCAGAATAAACTAGGCTTGGAGTTGTAGGAGGGGCCTAATGAGACTACTAGGGCAAACCAATCAGAATAGACTAGGCTTGGAGTTGTAAGAGGGACCTAATGAGACTAGTGGGGCTGACCAATCAAAATAAACTAGACTTAGATTTGTAGGAGGGGTTTAATCAGACATCTGTAGCCGCCCAATCAGAAAAGACCAAACCATGAGTTATGGGCGGGACTTAGACTACTGGGGTTGAAAAATCAGAGAAGACTAGACTTAGAGTTGTAGGGGGGTGCTAATGAGATTACTGGGGCTAACCATTGAGAATAGACTAGACCTAGAGTTGTAGAAGGGGCGTAATGAGACTACTGGGGTCAACCAATTAGAATAGACTAAGCTTAGAGGTGTAGGAGGGCTTTAATCTGACAACTAGGGCCACCCAATCAGAAAAGACCAAACCATGAGTTATGGGTGGGACTTAATGAGACTACCGGGGTTGACTAATCTAATCTGGAAAGAGCAAAGTTAGTTTTGTGGGCAGAGCTTGATCAAATTATTGGAGCTGACCAATCCAATTTAAGAAAACTGGGTTCTAGATTGTTCAGGAAACTGAAAAGTATAAAATCTTTTGCTGACAGCTGTTTTTTGTAGTGTTCAACATGTTTTTTAAAATAATCTAAGAATTGGCTTTATAATATCTTTTGCAAAAATGCTTTAATGTCATTAACAGCTTGCATGCAGTTCTTTCTGTGACTGACTAACTGCTTGTAACTGTTTCCTGTAACCATCATCTAAGATATTACATTAGGTCTTTAGTTTGTTGTCTATGAATCTGGTGAATCCAGATGATTTCTTTAGAACAGAATCAGTGAGAAAATGTAGCAAATTCAAACAAATTTAAAATAACTTTTTATCAAATCTATGAAAAAAGAAATTTGCAAGAATTTAATCATCTCTTCTTTTTCTTCTCTTCATCTTTTAACCACCTTCCTTCTCCTAGTTTCTCTTGTCGTTTCTTCTCCACAAACCCTTCCAGGAACGACTCCTCAGCTGCCGTTTTTAACCATAAACCCACCGATGACTAACATAGATGAAACTGCATCCTCCGGGGGTAAAACACAACCTTGCATGTCCAGTTTATCAAGTCTTCATCAGTTAGTTCCCAGGTCTACACATTGTATTTCTCTCTGAAGATCTCTTGGTGCTGTTTTCAATCATGCATGTTTTGACTTCATTCATTCTTCTGTAGATTAAATTTGGTGAGATGTGTTGGTTCCATCATGGTCCTATAGATGCTCCTCTGGTTGGGTTTCTTCACTTGGGTCTAAGGTTTACAGAGATCATCGTTCTTCCACAGATGCTATTATATTTCTGTACTAATGGCTCCTGTGATGTGTACGATTTCTAGTTTTCAAGTGGATTTTGTTTGAAAATGTGTTCATTTTTATTTAACCTGCTTTTTCACATTAATGCCTTCTGCAACAGTTGAAGAGACGACAAGAAAATCTCCAACCAAAGATGTAGCTCAAGTTGCTCCGAAGTCCAAACGTCGAACCTCAAGGTCCAAACTTCTGAGTACCAGTCACAACCAAAGTCTCAGTGATGAAGTACCTGCTGCAAGACCTTCTGAGTTTTATCAAATATTCAAAAGGACCAGACGAGACTTGAACACCGGTTCTCCTGGACGGACCTCCCATCATCACTCCTTTAAATCCAGTCATTTAAGTTCAGCAGGTCAAGACCGCAGCCTCCCAAAGAGACGATACCAGCCCAGATTTGTAGCTCCAGGTCCGGGTGTTGACTCTGAACCTTCGTACCCCAGACCTGCTTCCTTTCGAAGGGTCTCATCCCATCCCAAACCCTCCCTCGGATTCATCTCCACCCCTCTGAGAAGTAGGCCAAACGTGGGACGACGACGACCGGCTGCCACCAGAGCGACACCCAGCAGGGTGGAGGTTTATGTCACTAAACCTGCCGCTCTACTAACCAGACCCAAGTCCACAACTAGACCTGGGCCCAAAAACATGACTCATCCAACCGGTCGTACCAACGTGACACTTTTTATCCCACGTTCCTCCTCTTCTGCGAAGAAGATCTCTACGACCACCCGAGACCCAGAAACCTCTTCTGGATCTCAGGCTTCAGTCTCATGGCAACGTAAAGGTGAGGCATCACATTCTCTATCATCATCAGCAGCAGCAGCAGCAGTGCTGAATAACAGAAAGAACAAACTCGTAGCACCACTGTGGTCTCTGCTGAGCAGTAACGGTGAAGAAAACCCAACGGATGCTACGAGAAACTGGACCGATCTGTTGGAGTACTCGTCAGGGTCCGATGTGTTCATGTATGATTCAAGTGAGCTCATGGAGGAGACGAGCACCTTTAACTTATCTGAGTCCCTGGAAGACCTCTCTGTGAGTCCTGAAGCCTCACAAACTGGAGCTGAAGGAAGTCCAGAGTCTCCTAACAGAACTGGTCCGACTGAGGAAAGTTTAAGTGTTACAGCTGCAGATGAACGAGTAGATGGATTGGAGAGGACTGTTTCTGCTAAACATCCAGCACCATCTTTACCTACATCTCCCTCTAACTTTCCCTCTCAGGAAGTCTCAGTTTTACAACAAGAAAACAAAAAGAAATCCATTTTCTCTTATTTTGTGAACAAAAGTGAGACGGTTCATAACATCTATCCAGGTGCATTGTCCACCTACGTGGTTCCAGCTCCTGTTTTACTCCAAACTTCATCCGACCCTCGTCCTGTCCCTCTGTCCTCCTCTGTCTTTGCTGACTCTCTATCACATCAATCCTCCCTTCTCTCCTACAAAACCTTCACTCCTCTCTCTGCTGCTCCTTGGCTCTCAGAAACCCCTCGGCTGTCATCTCCTTCAAACCTTCGAACTGAATTTGAAGCCACGGCTATTGACTCGTCTCTGCTGTCACTTCCTGTCTTTCCTGACTTCACGCCTGAATCTTTGATCCCGGTTGATGAATACCTCCTGCCTTCTGCTGAGAACCCCTCCAACAACACATTTAAAACAAACTATTCCTACTACTCTGAAATAGACCAGTCCTTTCAGTCCCAGTCAGACTCTGTGGTTCTCTCAGGTGGTTTAGTTTCAGACGACTCGCCACGATCAGCCACAGAGGATCTTTCGAGGGTTTGGGGTTTTAAATCGTCCAATCAGTCAGTCCTTCAGCTCCCATATGGGTCTGATGTTGAAGGTTTAAGTCTTGAGTCCCATCAGAATGACCCCAATAACGGGTCGTCTGAACCTAACCTGGCTCCGCCTCCAGAAAACCCCAACAACACAGAGTCATCCTCTGCCTCTTTGTCTTCATCACTTTCAAGTTTTTTATTTTCGACCTCAAGTCCCCGCCTTCATGACAGCCCATCTCTCACAGAGAGAATGATGGGAAATCCATCTCTTTTGGTCCAGACAGCAGAAACTGGGTCACAGAGCAGAGACCCACTGAGCCCGGAGAATACCATCTCCTCTGTGTCTGAGCTGCCTGCCGGACACCAGGAGGTGTTTAATCGTCTTGTTTCACCTCCGCTGCTTTGGCCCGCCGCATCACCGACAAGCTTCGTCAGAAATGCTGGCCTGCAGGTTCCTCCCGGCCCTGATCATCAGCAGAACCGGAGCTCAGAGCACACACGTGTTTCTCTTCCTCTTTCTGCCGCTCCTCTTCTTCCCTTCATCCCTCACATCTCTCCTGCCGCCCCCCTTGCCATGACCGCCTCCCCTCTCTCATCTGTCAGCCCCCCACTCCTCCTTGGCCAAGCCCATTCTGGGCCAGCACCCGTCACTGTGACAGATGTGGAAATTGGCTTTTTGTCCCCCACCGCCGCCTCCGTGGACAAACATTCCCCGACCCCCCCTCAGACGACGCCCCCAGCCGAGCGTTTTATTTCCCGCTCTGGTGAACACTCGTCCTTGCTCGCTGGAGATGGATTGGACTCCGGCTCGTTGCCGCCTCCTGGTTCTGAGGATGAGGTTTTGTCTGGTCTCGCTGTAGACCCCCCCAGGCCTGCGTTTGATCCCGCACACATCGTTCCTAAGGTCCATCCTGTCAACCTGTCCCTCATCGGACCAACGAATAACAACAAAACCTTCAGTTTGATGCCGGAACCTGTAATGGATTCTGGTCCGATTCCTCCGACCCTTCCTGCATCTTTTCACCTGAACACGTCAGGATCCAGATCCCCTGCCCCAAATCGAGACTTCCTGTCTCAGCTTGAGCACCTCTCCTCACATGGAAACACAGCAAGCTCCAAGAACCTCTCCGAGACAAAACCAAACCCGGTAACCTTAAAAAACCTCTCCTCACAAGTCAGGAATGCTTCTGAAGTTACCGGAAGGATGGAGGCGTCTCACAGAAACGTCACGGGAAGTTTCAACAGAGACGTGCCGGCACATTTACCAGGTTTCGATCGGAACCACCCCGTGGATCAGGGCTCAGGGTCTCCTGTGATCCAGAACCACCCAGATGCTTACCTGCCACCGCCCGTGCTCCGGACCACACAGAGCTCCTCTCCAGATGCAAGTTTGTCGGCGGACGGCGCGAAAAATGCCAGTCCGACCGCAGGTGTGACGGCCGGGCTGGCGCCCCCCTGCCCGTGTAAACAAGGCTTTGATTTAACGTGTGCGTGCAGCGGGTCACCAGGGAACCGTAGGTCCAACAACCACCTGTAGATGTAGATCCACAGAGCAGGAACGTTAAATCAAACAGCTGATTTGTTCTCAGTTCTGAAGTAAAACCTGCAGAACCAAACACCACATGGCCAAAAGATTAGGACCACTTCCTCACCGGTCACTTGGACTTTTAGCCATGAATTGTAGAAACACTTCATGGCTAAAAGGCAGGCTGGTAGAAACGTGATTGTCCTACTTTATAGACAATTAAAACAACCATTTTAGGACTGATGACAAGTTTGATTCTCTGTAAATAGATATTCTGTCCGGTTATAGTCAGGGTTCTGAGTAAAAGTGATGAACGGGTCGAATCAACGATCCTCTGGAGGGAGAAGAGCTTCTAAAGCCGACGTGTCAAACTCTTTCACCGAGGACCAAATGAGCATTTTAGTTTTAATTAACTTTAACTTTAACTAAAATCAGGAAACATCACGCTCCTGAGCTCCTCTAACAAACACTAACTGAGCCCTACCTGGTGTTTCCTGCATAGAAACAGCATTTTAACGCATCCTCTTATAAACACTGAAAAGTACTATGTGTAAAGGTGAAATAAATACTACATAAATACTATTAAAAGTAAAAATAAGAGTTTTACTCACTGTTGTGTTGTGGTGAGTAGCTGCCATCTTGGATTATGAACTCTCCCGCTTTTCAACAAGGAATTCCCACTGGAGGGGTGTTCCAGTTTAAATGTACAACTTGTAAGTGGGACATTCCCTCTTCCCATACAACTGATGGAAAAAAGTACTTGGCGACAATGCAGTGAAAGGAAGATTTTACGTAGTGAATTTTGCCAACTGCTTTAGAACTATGTGCAGCTCCACCTTGTGGATGGATGCCGCCATTTTGCAGATAAAATTGCGTTTATTATGCAGGATGTAGTTTATGGTCAGTGCTGGCTTTAAAGCAGCTTAATCCTCAACAGGGAATTCCCATTGGAGTTCCCATTTAAAGGGCCAATATTATGTGTTTCTCAGGCATATATTTAAATACTATACCATAATAAAGTATCTATGTCACCTTTAGCTGCTATTAAAATGCTGTATTTACAGTATGTTTAAATAGAAAATAAACTTATCTTCTCATCACTTCCTCTTCTAAACGCCTTGAAATTGGCCTCTGTCTCTTTAAGAATCACCTTCCGTTTCCATTTTGCCCATTTCAGTGTGGGGGGCGGGGGCTGCGATGATGCAGTTTACTTGGCATCTGAAAATACATTTCCTCAAAGGTATTTTTARTCYRAAAAGAGCTTCACTGAGTGAGAAATAATGTTGAGAGCTCAGCAGACAGTTAGGTTTCACTTTCACCCGAGAGCCTGTAGGAGTCATGGGCGGGTGTGTGGGGAGGGGGTGCGCTCTGCCATGTGGAAGTTTGGCTTAAAGACACGTCCCAGGGGCSTTTCTGGTCCCCACCTGTCGTTTTGCTCCTCAGCATGGCTTCCTAAAAACGCTGCAGGTTTTCTCAAACATGCCTGAATGAGTCAGAGCAAGGCTTTGGGCATGTTTTTTTTTTATGAGAGTATAACATAACATGATATAAAACTCAAAAAAGTTTATTTTACATGACATTGCCCCTTAAACAAACAACTTGTAAGTGGGAAATTCCCACTTCCAGTACAACTGGGCCGCAGCATATGTAGCCAACAAAAATGCAGATAAATACAGATTGTACACCAAATTTCTTCAGCTACTTTTTAAACCCAGTGCAGCTCCACCTGGTGGTGGGATGACGTCATTTTCCTGGTAAAATAATCGACATGCTTTATGGGAAATGTAGTTTATGGTCAATGCTGGCTTTAAAGCAGCTTAGTTTGAGACATTAATACATCTTTGAAGCTCTTGCGGGCCACATGAAGTGTCGTTGTGGGCCACGTTTGACCTGCGGACCTTGAGTTTGACTCGTGTTTTCCTAACCGTTTATGATGAGGTTGGCTTGTCTGTTTTCAGAACTTTTACACAGAACCCTGCTTTAAAATGACCAGATTAACCCTTTCAGGTGGTCGGTCTTTGAGCTGATTTACTGGTTGATTAGTTTCTGTTTAGATAAAATCCTGATCTTTGTGGTGATTCTGGGATCATTTTCAGATTTGAATGATCAGTAGTTGTAGTTTGGATCCTTGTGGTTGTAGTTTAAACACGTTCTTCCTCCTTCACTCTCCTACATCATCTTCATCAGTTATTCAGTCCGTCACGGACTCGGGACAGACGGGGTCCGTGCAGGTCCCGGTGGAGAAGTCCAGAGTCAGCTGCTCTGACCTCAAACCTCTGAAACCCTCAGAAGGTGTCTGAAAGACCACCTGCGCCTCAGAAATGATAAAAACAACCACAAGTCTGCAGCTTTGAGGGTCTCCATCCAGGACCTGTGGACTGGTCTGGTCTGAGGACCAACAGAGACACCTGGTGGTCTCTATGGAGCAGAGCAGGAGATTGAATCACCTCTTTGGGTCGATCAGAGCAGGTTCTGTTTGAGTTGATTCGGTGTCAGCGAGTCTTTAAAACTCAGCGTTTTGAGTTTTTCTTTACGAATGTTTATCAGTCTGCTGAACGCCTGAAATCCTTTCAAAGCTTTAAAAACTGAACGCTGCAGCTCAGTGCTGACGCCGCACGAAGCACAGAACCAAACAGAACCGTCCTGGTGTCTGCCGGGCAGCGCATTCCTCCAGAAAACGAGGTTTTCGCTGGACTCTGTTCTCTGAGAGCCGTGGATTCAGCTCCTGCTCTGTGGCTCAGAAAGGAAATGTTTCCGTGTGGAATCTTTAGATGTGATGTTTTCTTCCTCCTCTTCCTCAGAGGGTCTGTTCTTCGGCCTTTTCTTCGTGGTGACGTCGGAGCAGAGTCGGGAGGCGGTGGAGCGAGCCGTGGCTCTCTGGGTGAGACTTGTGCCCCTTTTCCACCAGTGCCACTCAGTGTAGTGTCGGACCGGTCGGTGTGGGTACGGGTCGGACCGGTTGGTTCTCCAGTCCGGTTCCAATGGGTGTGTTTTGGGCGGTTGGTGGAGCTGGTTTTTAGGTATTTTGAAAAACATAAATGGGCAAAATGAGATATAAAAACCCATTTGATGAATAACTTTTGAAATTTTAAACATTTGCAAAAAATTAGCCAATCAGTGACGAACAGTGTTCTGACGTCGTGTTTTGGTGTCAGCTGGGCCCGGTTGAAACCACAGTGAAGTAGGTAGTAAAAAAAGTGCCGGTTCCATGGATCTGGTCCAATGGAAATGTCTTGGAACCGTACCGAAGCGTACCGACACCAAGTGGCACTAGTGGAAAAGGGGCGTTGGTGTCCTGACACTTTTTATCAGTTGTTCTGTGGAGTGTTTTATAAATCTAGATTTTATCCAATAAGTTAAAACTAAGAAAAACGACAGATTTGAGGTTGTTTGTTGCGATGTTTACACTGGTTTTATTTTCAGAATAAAAGCCTGATGATTAAATGCTTTTATTTTTCTTGCTGCAGCTGAACCAAAGCTTTCAGGACTGGATCTTCGCTGTGGATCAGTTCAGGTCAGATTGATCTGAAAATAGTTGTAATCATTTCAAATGAGATTAAATTTTCCTGTTAATCTGCAGAAAACATTTGTTTTTATTTGAGGCTGTTTTTTGTTTTTAACGTTCCTCCTCAGAGTTGATCTGGACGCAGTCTCGAACAGGTGAAGATGAATTTAAACTTTCAATATTTTGGGTTTTTATTTCAGTGAAACTCTGAATCTGTAAGAATCGTTTCTTTTCATTCGCCTGCAGTCACAGCTGCCAGGTTCTGCTGGTGATCCGCAGCAGGACTGAAGCCGAAGTGATGGAGCGGCTGCTCAGCAGGACGGGCCTCGTTAGTTCTGGACTGCAGGTCCTAGCCGGGACCCTTTACGTCCGATCAGTCGGTGAGAAAAGAAAAACCCTTCGGCTGCTCTCAGCTGGGAGAAATCTGAATCTGATGTGTTCATTCTAAAACACTCTGCTTCTCTTTTTATTATCTAAAAGCTGACTCAGCGTTTTGTTTCGTTTTTAAATCAAACTACGTCTGAGACTTCAAGATATTTTAGCTGTTTATAAATGAAAGCCTTCGGCTCGAATGAGAACCGTTTCCTGACTTTTATTCGTGTAACTTTAAATTTTTATTTTGACAAAACATTTCACTTTTATTTAAAATAAAATTCTCCATCAATACATCATATATTTAGTTCTCTCTTTTAGCTAGCATTTAGCTTCTAGCTTCAGCTTTGCACCTCCTAGATTTTAGCAACATTTTTGCCAATAGTTCGAGTATCAATTTAGTTAGTTTTACATTCTATGTTTGTGACTTTAGCTACCGAAATGCTAATTTTACTTTAGCTTAGCATTGATGCTGCTAATTTTAGCTACTGCCTTTTTGATTTTAGCTATAGGGCTTTTAGCTTGTGTTCTGGTAAATTTAGCTTCTGTTTGCCTTTTTTAGCTGTTCTCCGTAATAAAACTTGACACCTAAGTTTTAGCTTCTTCAGCTAATTTTAGCTACATTTATCGTTATTCTCAGTTTTTGTGCTCCTTCTAACAGGAAACTGTCCCGAGGAGAATCTCCTTCATTACCTGTGGCCCGAGACCCGACCCAGAGTCACTCAGTACCTGCCCTGCTTCCCCAACAAGGACCACAGCGCCTCCAGGACCTGGTAAACCCAGCACCCCCACAGATCTGTTACTGTTTGAGTCAGCTGAAGGTAAAAACACCCGAGGAGGTTACAGACAGTCAATGCGTTTCCATCGCAAATGTGCACAAAACTATGGTTACGTTCACACTGCAGGCAAATCCGACCCAATCCGATTTTTTTATGACAGTCTGAACGAGACAAATTCGATTTTTTCAAATCCGACCCAGGCCGTTTCAGTATGTGATTTTAAATCGGATATATTTCTGATGTTTTCAAAGTGACTGCAGTGTGAACGCTCATGTCACATTCATCTGACTTTTTCATCAGGAGGAGGGGGTGAAGGATCGATAAGACACTAACCTCAAGTCTCGCTGTTTAAATCTGTAGCTCCGTGTGTTTACAGCTCCAAAACACAAGTCCAGTTGCTTCTTCTTTTTACTTTTCATTTTCCACGTAGATAGTATGATAATAATAATGTCCAGCCTGGGTCGCGGAGAGTATCGATCCTAAAGTTCGATACTCGGTCGATACTTTTTTCCAGCTCGTAGTTTTGTTCAAAAAAAAAAAAGCTTCACTGGAGCATCCCGGTCAGAGGCAGCTTCAGATATAAACACTGAACTAAAGAAGCATGTCTGATAATTATTTAATCGGCTCTGATTAAACAACAACTTCCGATTCGATGCGCAAAATGTAGCATCCATGCTAGCTCTGTAAACAAACAAGCCGGCTGATGAGACGTTACGTCTTTTACTGCGCATGCGTGTCACATCAGTGCTGTGTAGCGTTCACACAGGAGTCTGATGCAGGTCACATTTAAAATGTAATGTGAACGTTCACACAAAAAGATCGGATTTTTTTCAAAAAATCGGAACTGAGCATTAAGACCTGCAGTGTGAACGTAGCCTTTGTCGATATTCTGTTAATGTCGAAAAACACAGTTTTGCAACTTCGATGTTTCTATTAAGTAAGAAATGCTATTAAAGTCACGCGTGAATACGTTTGTTCTCGCGATAAGTCATTACAAACATGGCGGCGATGAATGTAAACAAATAGCATGTTACTACTGTGACACTAGCGCTCATGATCAGAGGAGACGTCGGCGTCTTTTATCGAGGCTTTCCAGAGACAAGTCCCTACTTGGGAGCGGCTACGTATGCTGTGTTTTTAGGAAATTGTAGTCGGTGAGTTTACTATTTTATACTAATTCTGTGATATTACTACTATTTCTACTTCCTGTTATGTTCTTCGTCGTTTTTGCCAGTAGAAACAGACGGTTGTTGATCACGTGACTCCCGTGATGCGAAAAAAGTGTTTCCATTGCAGTTTTGCGAAAAAAACCAATTTAGCTACGGCCGAAAAATCACCTCATCCTAGCGCAAAAACATTTTGTCGAAAAACGTAATTTTTTTCCAAATTAACGTGCTTCCATTGAGCAGATTTATTTTCTAAATTCTAATTTGCCCATTTTCATGGTCAATGGAGACGCAGCTGCGAGACGGGATTCACGTGATCAACAACCGGCTGTTTCTATTGGCGAAAAAGACGATGACGAAGAAGATAACAGGAAGTAGAAGTAGTAGTAATATCACAGAAGTAGTATAAAATAGTAAACTCACCGGCCATCCCTAAGTAGAAGTAGTAGTAATATCACAGAAGTAGTATAAAATAGTAAACTCACCGACTACAATGTCCCAAAAACACAGCACACGTAGCCGCTCCCAAGTAGGGACTTGTCTCTGGAAAGCCTCGATAAAAGACGCCGACGTCTCCTCTGATGATGACGCTAGTGTCGCAGTAGCAACATGCTATTTGTTTACATTCATCGCCGCCATGTTTGTAATGACTTATCGTGAGAACAAACGTATTCACGTGACTTTAATAGCATTTCTTACTTCATGGAAACACTGCAGTTGCGAAACTGTGTTTTTTCGACATTAACAGAATAGCAACAAAGTTTTACGCACATTTGCGATGGAAACGCAGTTAGTGACAGCAGGTAGGACGGATCAGGTCATCACTTTCTGGTAACGAGGTCACTTCCTGTTCTTGTTTTCAGCAAATAAAGGAACAGTTTTTATTTTTAGCTGCAACAGAGAGAATTAGAGTATCTAAAAGGTGCTCAAGCACTAAACCTTTTCTGTTTATAGTTTTTTATAAAAACTCATTAAAACATCAGAATGTTCAGTTTGATCAGGAGCTTCGGCCATTACATCACTTCCTGTTTGCTTCTTCAATAAAAGGTTTCACTACACTCTGGTGGATTCTGTCCCTTTTTTAAATGTTTTCATCAAAGTCTAAAAACTGATATTTAGTTCATTCTTTTGTCTTTTTCCAGTCTGATAAATCCATTAAACTACGATTCTTTCTGGTCGAATGCAAACATGACGAACTGCACGGTGACTGCAGGTGAGCTCAGCTTTACGTCTTCCTGGTTTTCGTACGTCGTTTGTTTGTGAGACGAGTTGTTTTGTTCTCTGCAGAGAACGCGGTCGGCGTGGCGCAGCAGCTCGCTAACTTCACCAAGAACAGCCTCTCCAGCGAGGAGGTGGGACCGAGGAACCCTGAAAGTCCAAACAAAAAACCCTGCGTCCAGGTAGACCCTGACTGACCCACCCGTCCTCTGTCCCTCTGTCCCTAGGTGTCTCACGTGGTGACGAAGGTGCAGGAGCTGGTCAACGTGGCCAGGATCGACATGGCGGTCGCTGAGACCGTGGTCCACATCATGTCCAACGTCATGTTCAGCGCCGACAAGCCGCCGGTGCCCACCTCCAACAGGTGTGCTCCCCTGGTGGTCCTAAAGTTTGGTCCGGTTTGTCTCCAGGTTCAGTCAGGTGACGTCTCTGTCTCTGCCTCCTCCTCAGGGCTCTGAAGGCTGTCGAAGACTTGGCTCAGAAGGTGGAGTTTGAGGGTCCGTCCATCAACATCTCCTCCAGGAACCTGGCTCTGGGGGTCCTGACCCTCAACGCCTCCACCTTCAGCGGGACCTCCTTCAGCGCCTTCCTGCCTGCCAACTCCACCGACCCAAAGGTACCACCGTGGACCGTCCTCCACCTGAAGACGTTCTTCACGTCCCCCTTTTCTTTTCATCTCACTGCATTTTTTTTATCTTCTCGTTTCTCCTCCGTCAGATTGGGTTTGAGCTAACGGCTAACCCGTTAGCTCAGGTGACGCTCCCCGGCTCGCTGCTGTCCGGCGTGCCTCTGAGCGAGCTGGACTCTCTGACCAGGATCAACTTCATGTTCTTCAGCAGCACCAACCTGTTCCAGGTGAGGAGAAGTCCTGAGCGTCCTCAGAGGAGGCTGGGCTGACGGGAGCTTTTTACTGATTGGTTTCCTGGTTCTGTTGCAGAAGGAGCAGGACAGCTTGTCTCTGAACAGCTACGTGGTGGCGAGCAGCGTGGGCAACCTGTCCATCAGAGACCTGAAGGACCCGGTGAAGATCCAGATCTCCCACCTGCAGGAACAGGTACCGAGGTTCTGAGTCTTCTGCTCCTATTTCCACCACAGTTTAGTTAAAATAAATATTTTCTCATAATTATGTTTAAATGAAGCCTGCCTGTTGGTTAAAATCAGCTTCTGCAGCTTTGAGCTGAAAATCTGTCAAATCAGATTGTGTATGTGGATATTTCTATATTTAATTGACAGGTTTCATCAAAGAGGAAGTGCATGTTCTGGGACTTCAGCATGAACGGTGAGTCTGTCTGCATCAAAGTAGCAAAAAGCTAGTTAAAGGTAGCAAAAACCTAGTTCAAAGTGGCAAAAACCTAATAAAAACTGGTTAAAAAAATGAAAAGTGGCAAAAAAGCTAGTTAAAAGTAGCAAACAGCTAGTTAAAAGTAGCAAACAGCTAGTTAAAAGTAGCAAACAGCTAGTTAAAAGTAGCAAACAGCTAGTTAAAAGTAACAAAAGGCTAGTTAAAAGTAACAAAAAGCTAGTTAAAAGTGGCAAAAAGCTAGTT